TTTTTTTTTTTTTAATTGAATGCTTGTGTATATATATACACAAGCATTTTATTTTTATTAATTTTTTATTTTTTGGTTTTTCAAGACAGGGTTTCTCTGTGGTTTGGAACCTGTCCTGGAACTAGCTCTTGTAGACCAGGCTGGTCTCGAACTCACAGAGATCCGCCTGCCTCTGCCTCCCGAGTGCTGGGATTAAAGGCGTTTTAATTGAATGCTTGTGTATATAAGAGGCCCATTATCTCTAGCCTCTTATTGGCTAACTCTCACATATTAGTTTAATCCATCTCCATTAATGTGTATCGTCACTTGACCGTGGCTTACCGGCATGAGTCTAACCAGCGTCCATCTCAGGCAGGAGAATCATGGCATCTGCCACACTGCCCTTCTTCCCAGCATCCAGTTCTGTCTACTCCGCCTATCTAAGTTCTGCCCTATCAAAAGGCCAAGGTAGTTTCTTTATTCAACCAATGAAAGCAACACAAATACAGAAGGACCTCCTACACCAAACTCTTAAAAGAAAATATTTAATTGAGGATGATGGTTTACAGTTCAGAGGTTCAGTCCATTATCATCATGGCGGGGAGCATGGCAGCATGCACATGCAGGCAGACATGGTTCTGGCTATATCTTGATCAATAGGCAACAGGATGTGGACTCAGTGTCACACTGAGGGACACTGAGGGAAGCGTGAGCAAAATAGACCTCAAAGCCCACCTTCATAATAACACACCTCCTCCAGCAAGGCCACACCTCCTAATAGTGCCATTCCCTTTAGGAACCATTTTCTTTCAAACCACATTCCTACCTCCATCTCCCCTTACCTTGATGGAAATGGTTTGCTACGGTTAGTGATTTCCTTTCCTTTGGGATTTTAAACTCTTTCTTTTTTTTCTTTTAATCTTATGTGTACAAGACAAGGCACAACTGTATGTTCCAGGCTGGCCAGTACTCAAAAACTGTGTCTGTTTTGTTGACTCCATTAATCCTTTAGCCATAGCTTCCTATAGTCCTGTTTAAAGTAGTTAATTGAAAACCTGTGGTAGGAGCTAGAGAGATGGCTCAGCAGTTAAGAGCACCTGATGCTCTTGCCAAGTTTTTTTGTATTTTTGGTTTTGTATTAAATCACTGCTTGGCCTATTAGCTCTTGCTTCTTTTTGGCTAGCTCTTGCATCTAGAATTAACCCATTTTTACTATTTTATATTTCACCACGAGGTTCTTGGCCTACCAGGAAGGTTTTGACTGGCGGCTCACATCTTTTTCCTCTGGCAGCTCCATGGCTTCTCTCTGACTTCGCCTTTTTCTCTGTCTTTTTGGCCTGGCTACACTGTGTTAAACCATTGTCTGAAAGCACCTTTATTATTCATTAACCAGTAAAAGCAACACATACACAGAAGGACCTCCTTACACCACCCCTTTGGTCTGAGCATTGGTAGAGGTAAAAAACTAGTCGCTGGCCGCTCTGCTTCTCTGATCCTTCAGCTTTCACAGCCTGATAGCTGACTCTGAGTTTTCATTATTAAGACCAGTTAGAATTTATGCTCCAATGATGACTGTAGGCCCTGGCATGTTGACAACTCGAGCATGGCCTGCCAGTCTTCCTTGTTTGATGACAGATGCACACAGCTCATTCTGGCCTGGCGGCACAGCTCAACTATGCTCTCCCCACATGGAGCCCAAGATGCAACAAAAACACTTCGCAGTTTTGAGCACACAAGTTGGACATTCACAACCACCTGTAATGTCAGTTTCAGGGGACCTGATGCCCTCTCTGACTTCACATGCACACATCCACATACAGACACACGTGTGTGCGTGCGCACACAGGCACTCATATACACATCCCTCCCTCTTTAACTAAAAATCCCTTAAAATGTTTTAAAATTTTATGTATATGAGTGTTTTTCTCAAATGTATATCTGTGCATCACACATGGTTCTGGTGCCCACAGAAGGCAGACACATTCAGATAGATCCCTTGAAACTGGAGTAATGGACATGTAGGTGCTGGGAATTTAGCCCAGATCTTCTTCCAAGGATTCTCTTAACCTCTGAGCCATGTTTCCTCCCCTAATAATAAATATTAAAATAATTTTAATTTTTAAAAAAATTAAAAATCTTTAGTAAATTTAGCCAGGATTTTATTTCAAATGATTACCTGCTCCTCTCCCCTTCTCTCTGTATTTTTATGTCTTCCAGAATTACATAATTATTTTTAATCATTATTTTACATATTGTATGTTAAATTTTTTTTACAGTTACTTATGTATGTGTTTGCATGCATGCCACAATGCATGTGTGAATATCAGAGGATAACTTAATGGGACTACTTAATTCTACCATGTAGAACCTAATTCTACAACTTAGGTTGTTAGGTTTAGTGAGAGTTTGATGGGTAAATCACATAACCCCAGCTTCAGGGGATCACACACCCTCTTCTGACCCCTGAAGTTACCAAGCACACATATGGTACATATACATACATGCACACAAACATTCAATACAAATAAAATGAAATAAATAAATAATTTTAAGTAAGTTTTGAAAACTTCATTTGGTGTTGAGGAAATGCATGAGAGATGGCACTATGAAGCCTGGGAATTGAGCTCAAGTCGTGAGACTTGACAGCAAGTGCTTTTTTTGGGAGGGAGTAGGAAAAGAACATTTGTGTGTGTGTGTGTGTGTGTGTGTGTGTGTGTGTGTGTGTGTATAACACCACTGAAAGGAAATGTCATCAAAATGTGCACGTTAGCCAGGAGGTGGTGGTACAGCGCACACCTTTAATGCCAGTACTTGGGAGGCAGAGGCAGGTGGATCTCAGTGAATTTGAGGCCAGCCTGGTCTACAAAGTGAGTTCCAGCATAGCCAGGACTATTACAAGAGAAACCCTGTCTTGAAAAGCCAAGAAAAGGAGAGGGGGGGAAGGTCAGACGTTGGTGAGTGAGGAGATACTGTTTATATGATATCAATAAAAAGGAAAATTATTTATTCTCTTATTTATTAGAAAACCATATTGGTTTGTTTGGCACAAAAATAGTGGTAGCGGGCTGGAGAGATGGCTCAGAGGTTAAGAGCACTGGCTGTTCTTCCAGAGGTCCTGAGTTCAATTCCCAGCCACATGATAGCTCACAACCATCTATAATGAGATCTGATGCCTTCTTCTGGCCTGCAGGTATATGTGCAGATAGAATACTACTTATAGTACATAATTAATAAATTAATAAATCTTTAAAAAAATAGTGGTAGTGGAGAATGGGGACTAACTTAGTGATAGGGCGCACCTCTGGATGCAGGGACAGCAGCCTCAGTGTTTGGAACATCTCTTACCTTTCTTTCCTGTGAGCTGAATTTTTATTCATAAAAATGATAATATTTGGGTCATTTAGCCAAGACACAAATATTTGATGATCTACTGAAAGAACATTCTGATAACCCTGGTGCTGTGACTTCTCGGGAACCTGATCTGTAGAAAGGAGCTCTCTTTCTTTGGGATATAGTAGTGGGAACTATTAGACAAATGAACAACTTGTCTTATTTATTAGCATTATTTTTTTTCTTTTGCAGGCACATATTAAATTTCCTATTGACTACCCATATTCACCACCTACCTTCAGATTCTTGACCAAAATGTGGCACCCCAACATTTATGAGGTAAGAGGCATCTGTTATAACTTTCTCTGGATTTTTTTCAGATTAGTTCTTTAAAAAGAGACTAGGGATTTACCAATCAAGGTCCTGTGTTTGATTATCACACCACACAAAAATAATAGCTTGAGCTGGAGAGTGTAACTTGGTAAAGCATTTGCTTAGCATACCCAAGATCTCAGTTTAGTCACAACAGCACACCCTGCCCACCCTGAAATAGACTGTGTGTATCAGTAAGTTGTGTTTCACGGTACCCACAGAGAAATGTTTATGTTTTGTATTTTGTATTCTCTGGTTTAATTATTTAAAATCAAGAGTACTTTTATAATATATAATGATTATTCCAGTTAAAGATGGAAAATTTAAGCCTTTGCAGCTGGTTGCTAAGATTATAATGCACACACGTTAACATTCATGTTTTACAAATTTAGTAAAGTACCTATCCTCTAACTTTACAGCAAGGGTCACCTGTTGCTATGGGCAGAGACTCAGCTTTTTCAGGGGGATTTATCCTAGTACATTTGGCCTGGTCTCCTTTCAGGAGTTACTGCTGAGCATTTGAGAGCCTCTTTTGGAATAACTCCAAGGTGAGGTTCTGTTGTATGGAGAGGCCTGCTTGTTTGTCCTGGCCGCCCAGCTAGCTTAGCCCCGAAATAATCACACAGAAATTGTATTTATTAAAATACTGCTTGGCCGTTAGCTCTAACTTCTTATTGGCTAACTCTTACATATTAGTTTAACCCATCTCCATTAATCTGTGTATCGCCACGCAGCAGTGGCTTACCGGAGATTCTAACTGGCGTCCGTCTCAGGCAGAGGATCCATGGCTTCTCTCTTGACTCTGCTATCAAAATCTCCCCCCAAACATCAGCAAGATGGTTATAAAATTTATAAAGAAATAATAAGAGACCTAGAATTCCAAAAATTGAAAAGAATTTAAAACATAGTATGAAATTATTGTCACCAAGAGAGTTTAGTGCTACCATGGTGAAGAATTGAGAACCTCAGAATAATCCAGAACATCTATAAGCACCAGTATATTTATTTTGAGATAAGATCTTGCCATGTAGTCCAGATTAGCCTCTAACACGTCATCTTCCTTCTTCAGCTTCCTAAGTATTAGGACTTTAGGCAGGAACTGTGATGCCCATTTATAATTAATAGATTTTGACAAAAAATGACACCAATCTCATTGAGCATCATCTTTGCTATGATTTCTCTTGTGGTGATGAAATTTCCTCCAACCTCAGGAGGAAAAGGTTTATTTGGCTTTCATATTGTAGATCACTGTCGAGGGAAGCAGAGGCAGGAACTGATGGCAGATTCTGTAGAGAAAGTCTGTCTGCCTTCTGGCTTACTCCTCATGACTTGCTCAGCCTGCTCTCTTATACAGCTCAGGACCACTGCACATCCTCATCAATCAGTGGTTAAGAAATGTCCCAAGTATTTGTCCACAGATACTTCAGTAGAGGCATTTTCTCAATTAAGGTTCCCACTTCCCAAATGATCCTAGTCTGTGAAGTTGACATAAAAATTAGCACACGTGGGAAGTAATGGTCTCACTAATAGTTGGATTTCCACAAACAAAAAAATGATATTGGCCAGGCAGTGGTGGCGCACACCTTTAATCCCAGCACTTGGGAGACAGAGGCAGGTGGATCTCAGTGAGTTTGAGGCCAATTTTGTCTACAAAGTGAGTTTCAGGACAGCCAGGACCCTGTCTCAGGAAATAAAGAAAAAAAGATACTGTATTTCTACCTCATAAAAAATTGTTAAACTTGCTCAGAACTATACTCAAGAGTCAGAGGCAGGAGGATTCCTGCATTTGAAGCCAGTTTGGTCTGTAAAGTTCTTTAAAGAATTAAAAAAAAAAAAACCCACAGGATTTTAAAAGGATTAACCTAATTGAAAAGTAGGCAAAGTTAGCCACAAGTGTGTGTTAGGAGGCTGAGCAGGAGGATTGCCGAAGCCCAGGAGTTTGAGGCCAGACTAGGCAGCCATGGCTCGGAGAATAGAAAGAGACCCTGACAACGAATGAGCTCAGTTCACATCAGACACGTAGTGAGACTTGACTAATGCACAGAGTGGAGCGTGTGCTGTTAGGAAAAAGGCCTCATGTCTAACAAGGGAGAAGAAGCTCACAGTGTGGAGAGCAGCACTGTGGACACACAACTCCAGTGTCCACCAGCGGAAGCCCAGCACACGCTCACTGCATCCATGGAGGGCAGAGGGAACTCTGAAACATTTGACTAAGTCAGAAAACGGTTTATATTGTATGATTCCATTTATATTAAAGGTTCAGAATATATAAGGCATTAATTCAGAAAGCCAGCTGGTAGTGACTGCAGACTGTGGCAGATGACTAAGCTTCGTGGGTTTTTTTCTATCTTTTTTTTCTTTTTCCTTTTTTTTTTCTTTCTTTTTTGGCGCCTACCCTGGAACTAGCTCTTGTAGACCAGGCTGGTCAGTTTTATTCTTTATAGCCTTGGCAGACAGATCTGTATCTCACTATGCAAACTAGGCTAGCCATGAACCTAATTCTACCTTCCAAGGGTTGGGATTGTAGATGTATGCCATCATGCCCAAACCAGTTATTCATATAAAAACTTGATTTAGTCAGCCATGATGACAGGCCTTTAAAGGCAGAGACAGGTGGCTCTCACTTTCAAGGTCATCCTAGTATATATAGAATTCTAGGCTAACCAAGGCTACATGACAAGACCCCCATCTCAGAAAGCAACAGAAAAGTTTAATTTAGTAAGTTAAATTCATCTAAAAAAAAAATTAAGGGATAAGGTTTTGCCTGTAGAACAGTAGATCTGGAACTGGGCAGTGGCAGCACACACCTTTAATCCCAGTACTCAGGAGGCAGAGGCAGGTGGCTCTCTCTTGAGTTTGAGGCAAGTCTGGTCTACAGAGTCAGTTCCAGGACAGCCAAGGCTACACAGAGAAACCATGTCTTAAAAAACTAAAAAGAGAGAGAGAGAGACAGAGACAGAGAGAGAAAGAGAGACAGAGAGAAAGACAGAGAGAGAAAAATTTATTTATTTACAGCTGTGGCACATTACTTTAACCCCAGCACTTTGGAGGTAGAGACAGGTGGGTATTTGAGTTTGAGGCCAGAGCAAGTTCCAGGACAGCCAGGGCTACACAGAAATCTTGTCTCTAAAAACCAAGGAAAAGCGGGGGAGTGTTAGATCTTTGAGTTTTAGGATCAAGAGACCCTGTCTCAAAAAAAAAAAAAAAAAGTAGTGTTTATTAACTATACTGGGTTTTATTATGATATTTTTATACATGCATATAATTTTGATTTATATTCCTTTTCATTACTCCCTTTTGCCCCACTTCCATTCTCATTAATTCTGTTTCTCTTCCCAGCTGGTCCTCTTTCTACTTTATTACCTTTTGTAGTAAATGAGTTCATGTGGTTGCTGACATGAGCCTGGGCATCTTATGGGTGGCTTTACCATTCAAGAAACTGTCTTTTCCACCTCAAGGAAGGGTGGGACCTCGTGACCACCTCCCCTTTCATGGCAGGATGTTGGCAGACAGTCTTGTGCAGGGATTACGAAGGCATTCATACATAGCTCATGTGAATTCAAGGGAGCACCTGCCGTGTCGTGTCTGGTCTCTAATCTAGAGCCTTGCTGGCCCTCCTCTGGTGTCCTGTTGTGACTGAGCTGTCACTTCTCACTTCCTCTCTGCACTTTGACTCCTTCTGAGCCATTGTCCGCTGTAGAGAGAGCACTGCGGCACTAGTCTTGGGACAGAACCATGGTTTCCTGGGAGGCAGCTTGGCAGGCATCATGTCCACTTAACAAGGCAGCACAGAAGCTTCCTTATGAGAACTCAGAACTGCCTCAGCCACAGGCTTTTTACCAGCAAGCACTCTGTCTCTGCCTGCCTGCCTGCCTGCCTGTCTATTTCTGGGTCTGGAGAGATGCTCAGCGATTAAGAGCATGTGCTGTTCTTCCAGAGGACCTGGATTCAATTCCCAGCATCAACCTGGTAGCTCACAACCACCTGTAACTCCAGTCCTAGGAATGGTGGTAGGTCCTCTTATGGCTTCTGTGGGCACTGCACATGCATAGTGCACAGATAAACACATAAAAATAAAATTAAAAAAATGTGTGTGTGTGTGTGTGTGTGAGAGAGAGAGAGAGAGAGAGAGAGAGAGAGAGAGAGAGAG